GTCCCCTGCATCGGCAGGCGGACTCTCAACCACTGTGCCACCAGGGAAGCCCTAAAGTGCTTCATTTTTATCAATTAGTGTCAACAGAGTAACTCCCATAGAATGATTAAAACTGTCTCTTGAGACTCTGAAAAGTCAACTGACTAATGTTTTATTCAAGCTAATAAAGTGGTCCAGGTTAGATCCAAATCCAAGATTTGGAATCCAAGGATCTTTCCACCCTGGTACCAGGGAAGGACTCTTCCCGGTGCGGAGACTTGCTGTGTGGTCTCACATCTCACTGTGTCTTTTCCTGTCTGTTACTCCCTCAGTGGAACCTACAGTGACCATCTCCCCATCCAGGACAGAGGCTCTAAACCACCACAACCTGCTGGTCTGCTCGGTGACAGATTTCTATCCAGGCCAGATCAAAGTTCGGTGGTTCCGGAATGACCAGGAGGAGACAGCTGGCGTTGTGTCCACCCCTCTTATTAGAAATGGGGACTGGACCTTCCAGATGCTTGTGATGCTGGAAATGACTCCCCAGCAAGGAGATGTCTACACCTGCCATGTGGAGCACCCCAGCCTCCAGAGTCCCATCATGGTGGAGTGGTGTAAGGGGCACTTGGTTTCCTTTCACCGTGGGCCCCACGGGACAGGGGCAGATAGAGCTTCCTTGGTCCATGCCATCTCATCCCTTGTCCCCAGAATCCCTACTGAGCTGGAAATTATAGGACACAAGAGTGCGTCTTGCCTCATATTAAGGGCATCAGAAGAATCCTGATCTCATTGTCTTTCCAGATACAGGGGGCTCACTCTACACACCAGGGCCCCAGAGCCCAGCCCTGGTAGCTCTGAAGGATTGACCGGTGACCAGAGTCTTAGGGCGTAAGGTTATGGATGTGTCCCTGAGGAGCAGGGATCCACTTTCCCCTTCTCCCACCCGTCCACTCTGTCCAAGGATCTGTTGGCGGGTCCCTCCCCTAGGGGTAGTCAGAATGGAGAGCTAGGTTCCCCTGGCACCTCCACCTCCTGTATCTCAGACTAGACTTTAGGCTTCTCAAAGGGACACCCCGCCTTGGTGTGGGGACAGACCCTGACACTCAGTCTCTGATCCCTAGGGGCACAGTCTGGATCTGCCCAGAGCAAGATGCTGAGTGGTGTTGGGGGCTTTGTGCTGGGGCTGATCTTCCTCGGGCTGGGTCTCATCATCCGTCACAGGAGCCAGAAGGGTAAGGAACTCTGGGGAAAAGGGGAAGATGGGCTGTGACTGAGACCCTCTGTTCAGGGAGGCCTCTGCCTCTAGATGTAGCTCTTTCCTCCTGACCCTGAAAGGAAGGAGACTAGGCTGGTGGTGGGCGGAAAGGGAGACATTGGAGTCTGATTTTACTGGTTGAAAAGTAGCCCTTTCACAGAGGTGACAGGTGGGATTTATTCTAGGGCTTCCTTCTAGTGACAGTTCCATTCATTTGGGGAGATTTTATTTTAGGGCAGTTAAGGCCTTGTGGGTAGAGAGGATGGGTAGGGAAGAAATATATTTCAAATTAAGTTGCTTATCTCATTTCCCTTTGGGGTGGGTGAGACACT